CTCCATGAAAATGGAGTTACCCTTTAAAGCAGAGCTCCACCAAAAAGGGGAAGTTCAGCTTTAAGGACTGCTCCCCATTAAGGATTGGCACCTTTGGGGGGCGGGTACCTGAATTTGACAGGTACCCACTCCCATTTTCGGTCCGATCGCAATCGGAAGGTGTCCTCCCTCCCTGTAGTCTTTGGGACTCATGACAGGTCCCAGAAGACTACAGGACCATTCATGAAGCGCAATGCTACTTGCACATGTGCAGTGGGTACCCGGCTGTGAAGCCGCAAGCTGTCACAGCCGGGTGCCCACACTGAAGATGCCGGCCTCCAGGAATCCAGGATGGCAGGTGAAACGGGCTGCGGGGAACACACCACGGGACTGAGGGACAGGTAAGTGACGGTTTTTTAACCTCCCTGGCGGTATTCCCGAGTGTAGCTCGGGGTAAAGTTTCAGTACCAAAAGCGGTAACCCCGAGCTACACTTGGGCTTACCATGCGGCTTTGCTCCAGGATCTCTTCTTCACTTACCTTGTCCTGCGCTCCCGCGATGTCCCTCCTGCAGTGTCCCCGGCAATGTAATCAGGCGGATGCCGGCATCTGTCATCTGGGTTCCGTCCCCTGCAAGTGTCGGGACATACGGGGGACGGAACGGCGGGAAATTTTAAAATGACAAAAAGTGACATTCACTAAAATCACATAGTATAACATTTCTGTATCAAACCATTTCACATACATTTTGTCCCGAGTGCTTTGTCCTGCGCCCTGCCTGCATTTTTACTGTTCTTTCTGCCTGGACACTGAGAAATGTTCATGGCGGCCAAAAAGCGTCCCTTTAGGTCAAAAGCGGTTTTAGATCAGCTAGAGAACAGCGATAGTAAATCAGAACCACTTGCAGAATTGAGTGATGATTTGTGGGGGAAATTCATCATCAGACACTGAAAACGATTTTGCGACTTTGCTCAGCGATGTGCGAACTTGGCGCTATATTTCAAATTTCACTGTTTTTGGTTTGATTATATTATTGAATTAAATTTATAATATTATTATTTATTAAATTATAATTTATGATTTCGTGTTTCAAATTTTATCATACCCGGGATGTTTACTAGACTCTTGTTCATACAGATTTCAGTGAGTTATTCCTAAAAATTACAGCCTACAATAAAAAAACTACATATTTCCATGCAAAAAAATGTACCGCTTTCAGCACAGAAATATGGACATAATCAGACCGCTAGGGAGGTTAAAAGTCAGCAGCTACAGTTTTTGTAGCCGCTGACTTTTTTTTGACAGGGTGAGTGGAACTCCGCTTTAAGCAAGAAGTTTTGGAAAATGGGGACTTCCCTGAGTTGATATATCAAGAGAATAAGGACAAAATACGGCTTTACCGTTTAGTTTTGTTTATTGACAGATAATATCCAGCGATTACAGCATTTTAACCCAAACATACCTACCACCCCCACATATCCCTTAATTCCAATCAACTGGCCTTCACATGGCAAAGCAACTAGGCAAGAACCATTGCTGGCGGTGGGGGGGGAGAATGACTATGCAGACCCACTTGTCTTACCCGAAATACCAGCAGCAAAATGGTGGGAGATTAGCAGCTTGTGGGTCAGTGACCTGGTATTAAATATATAGATATATGTAACATATACAGGATACCGATTATGCTGGCAATGACTGGTGCTTTGAACAAGAAAAACTGATGGCTTCTGTGTATGAGGGTCCCTCCACCTGAAGTGATTTTAAGAAAAAGGGGGCTTTGAGGTATGTGCCAACTTCTTATAATCTTTGGGGACTCTAGCAGCAAGGATGGAGCTCTAAGCCATACCGCCCTCTACTGGCAAGAGTCATGCCCTACATGGGGGCTCAACAGATGGCTAGGAAGATAAGCAGCATGCAAAGAGTTCCCAAACAGTATAAAAGACCAGCAGGTGTTTCCACCTACAATGGAAATAACAGTGTTAAGTAGACTGATCTTTTCTGTTTCCAGAACCCGTCCAAGACCCACCAACCATTCACATACTGTGAACATCCACAAAGGCCAAGACCCTAATAACTCCATCCGTGGACAAGTCGATAGGCAAAGTGTTAACAGGCCTCAGAGACAGGTTGGGGAAACATTGCTAACAGTTCTGGATGCAGCGGACTTGTCAGTTACCTGTTGCAGAAAGGGTTAACAGAAGCCAACAAGTTGCGTGCATCGAATGTACTGTAATGTGTTGTACCCATAGATTGTAGGCCTGAGAAGAGACGTGTTCACCGGTCACAGTTGCCAGCACTGGTACAGAACGATCATCCTGGAGAGGGAAGGTCCAGCTCTCTCCCCCATCCTCGCGGGACGCCCGGCCTTCTCTCCGATTAAAAGGTCCGGAGCCTCTGAAGAGACAAGCGCCAGCCTTGCTGCGAAACGTCACACGTCGCTGAGTTCCTGACGGAGAAGAGGACAGCGGTTATCAGCAGCCATACAGACGCGTCTTCCAGTCCGCCGATTTCCTGTGACGGGGAGATCTCGCCGAGAAGACGCGCGGCTAGATAAGTGATGACAGATCCCTCTCTGGAGGAAATGGACAAAAATGTTTCATCTCTCTGTAAAATTCTAACAAATGATACGACTGAAAACTAAGGTAACGCTGATCTCCATGTTTTAGTGACGTTTAAATAGTTTCTAGGGATGCACCGAAATTTCGGTGGCTGAAACGTTTCGGATGAAAACTCCCCTTTCGGTCGTCGGCCGAAATGAACAAAGCATCGATACAGGTGCCGAAAAAACCTCGCTGCCGCCCCTCGGTAGTTCTCAGCCTTACCTGAGAATCCATCGAACAATCCCAGCGCTGGGTATAAGGAAGTGAAGGAAAGATGGCCTCCACTCATCTCTATGCCCTTGGAGGACCAGAGCGATGTGACTTCTGGTTGCGGGCATTTTTTTTTTTTTTTTTTTTTTTTTTAAAAGCACTAGATCAATGCTTTTTTTTGATCCAATGCTTTACATTGCAGAGGAGAGATGTGGGGTCTTATTGATCCCAAATTTTCTCCATAAAAAGAGGACCTGTCACTATTTCTATCACAAGGGATGCATGCAATTATTGTGATAAAAAATAAAAGTGATTAAAATTTTTTTAAAAAAAAAAAAGGGACAGTGCAAAAAAAAACCATTAAATATATTACAAAAAAAAGATTAAAGTGCCCTTGTCCCCCCTCCCCCGTGCTCGCATGTAGTGGTGAACGCATACATACGCCATGCCTACGTAAATGTTGTTCAAACCACACGTGAAGTATCGTCACGAATGTCGGAGCAAGAGCAATAATTCCCGCACTAGACCTCCTCTGTAACTTTACACTGCTAACCTGTAGACATTTTTAAAGCATCACCCATGGAGATTTTTTAAGTACCGCAGATTCACACCATTCCACGAGCGTGCACAATTTTAAAGCGTAACATGTTGGGTATCCATTTACTCGCCGTAACATCCTCTCTTTTTTTTTTTTGTAAAATAAGGCATATATATTGTTTTTTTTAATCAAAGTGTATTTTTTTTTCCCAAAAAATATATATTAATTTTTGAAAAACTGCACGTTTTCGGCCAAGTGCATTTTGAATTTTCCTTTTCGGCACCAGAATTTTCATTTCGGTGCACCATTAATAGTTTGTTTGGAGCAAGCTGGTCCAATTGCACTATTACCTTCACTACTAGATGTGCCTGCTGTGTGCGTGGTATAATCTGCACATTGCCTCATTTGCATACAGTATACAAAGCCATCTACAGTGCCTTGAAAAAGTATTCATACCCCTTGAAATTTTCCACATTTTTGTCATGTTACAACCAAAAATGTAAATGTATTTTATTGGGATTTTATGTGATAGACCAACACAAAGTTGAGAAGTTGTGAAGTGGAAGGAAAATGGTTTTCAAAAGTTTTTACAAATAATTATCTGAAAAGTGAGGTGTGCATTTGTATTCATCCCCCATTACTCTGATACACCTAACTAAAATCTAGTGGAACCAATTGCCTTCAGAAGTCACCTAATTAGTAGATAGAGTCCACCTCTGTGTAATGTAATCTCAGTATAAATACAGCTGCTCTGTGAAGCCCTCAGAGGTTTGTTAGAGAACATTAGTGAACAAACAGCATCATGAAGGCCAAGGAACACACCACCAGGTCAGGGATAAAGTTGTGGAGAAGTTTAAAACGGTTAGGTTATAAAAAAAAATCCCAAGCTTTCACGGAGCACTGTTCAAACCATAATCCGGAAATGAAGAGTATAGCACAACTGCAAACCTTCCAAGACATGGCCGTCTGCCTAAACTGACAGGCGGGCATGGAGAGCATTAATCTGCTCAGCCATTCACAGAGAACTTTGTAGTCTATGAATAAATATAAAGCTTCCTCTGAATGGCTGAGTCTGAGATCGTGATGTCACCCACCCACCCACCTCCACCAATCAGAGGAAGCTTTGTATTTATTAAATCGAACACAATGTTCCCAGCAAATGGCTGAGCAGCACTCCACCCAATTTGATTTTGTTCCTGTTAGCAGCGTTGCCAGAACACAGCACTATGTTGTATGTAGTTGAGGCTGCATACTGTACATACAGCGGCACATCTAGTAGTGAGGGTAATAGTTTGGTTGGACCAGCTTGGTCCAGACAAACTAAACTTCACTAAAACATGGAGATTAGTTTTAAAAAGTGGAAAATGCGGCCCGCAGCGAAGCACATATGTGAACCAGGGCTAAAGGATTCTGATCTATAGGTGCTACCAATGCAAGCTCTGTTGGGGCTGTCATCCTGGAGTAATTATGCCTAGTTAGTCCCTGACAGAACATGTTAGTAAGATGCCTCTGGACTTTTCTGACTGCTATAAAGAATGACACAACCAGAGATTGAGAATAGCACAAACATCTTCCATATCCATCATCACCTCCCAGCTCTGTAAGCTACAAATGCAATTACATCCCAATCTGCGCTGCAAAATTCACATCTACTGTCTGTGTTTCAATCTGATCTTATTTCAGATTAGATTTCCCAACAGGTAGATACCAAAAACAAAAACCCCCAGGAGGGGAGCATCTTACTTTTCGTGTAAACTCTGGGAGAACAAAGGCTGCTTGATGAATACTGGTGTTATAGTATCGCAGGTTCATTTCATCAACTTGCTCCTGAGATAACTGCCGTACCGGCTCCCGGAAATTTGTATTCTGCAACAAGAGACTAGACGTTAATTCTTTGTATAGTTTGATTTCAGCACCTTAAACCATTGCACACCCACTTTTTGCTTTTTTTTTTTTTTTTTTTCATATTTTCATTCTTTGCTGCTGATCTTCTGTCTACCTGGCTGCATGTATTGGGGTGGTTTTCTGTTGGTAACACCAGTGGACCATGCCTGTATACAGTTTGTTAGAATGGTCACTTGTAGTCCCCTTTAGAAGCTTTTAACACAGTGACAAAACAGAAGTACAAGTGAGAGAAAGGAACACGGTGTTGTCACCCCATCACAAGGATTTCATGGCAGGGTCATCAGGGTATATTTTAAGAAAGCTGCAGCTTTTAAAATGACATAAAAGTGTTGTAAAGCCTATCCATGTATTACCTAAATGCATCCCTTGCAGCAGGGGACCTTGGAAGAGGTTTGGGTTCACTCTGGGCAATTCTATTACACAGAGCAGTTAGGCAGAAACTTGTTTGCCATTTTTTTTTTAACCGCTTTGCGTCTGGCCTATAGCAGTAGTACTGCTACAGGGCGGCACAGGTGTGCAAAATCACGTATATATACATGTGAATTTGCATCTCTGGGTAGGGGGCGTGCACACCCCACCCACGCAGCCATTCACGGCCTCAAGCCTCAATCACCGGTCCCAGCCAGTGATTACTCACCAGCGCCCAGTGATTGCTGAGCATCTCTGGGGGGGGGGGGGGGGGGGGGGGGGGGGGGGGGGGAGATGCAGAGGATTAACCCCTTAGGCTCCACAGTGAGTATAACACATGCTTTACTGCATATACAGACTGATTGTACTGTTGTGGGTTTAACAATACTTTAACTGCTTTCCCGCCGCACCATAGCGAATATACTGCTACAGAGCAGCAGGGGTGTGCAAAATCACATATAATTTGTATTTCCAAGTAGAGGGGAACGCACAAGCCACGTGCCACCAATCGAGGCCACGGCTGTAAATCACCGGGTCCTGGGTCCCGGTGATTACCGAGCATCTCCGACGGGGAAGAGGACTGTTTTGTTTAATAACAGTTCTCCTCCCTGTCTGCTCAGGCACACTGCTCTGGATGGCTGTGCACAGCACAGCCATACAAAGCAGCGTGCTTACAGTGAAGCACACAGACACAGCCCCTACTAAAACAGCACACTGTTAACACTTTGATCGCTCCACATATTGACCCTTTCCTGTCCAGTGTCATTAGTACAGTGTCAGTGCTTTTTATTAGCACTGATGACTATATTGGTGTCACTGGGGATGTCAGTGACACCAAGTCAGACACCCCACCCCCCCCCCCCCCCCCCCCCCATTGTCAGAATGCCCGCCGCAGTATTATAACTCGCAGGTCGCTGCCATTATTAGTATAATAATAATCATTAAAAAAAATCCCAGCATATATACCACCATTTGTAAATGCTATAACTTTTACGTAAACCAATTAATTTACACATCTTGGGATTTTTTTTTTTTTTAGCAAAGACATGGAACAGAATACATTTTGGCCTAAAATTATGCCAAAATTAGATTTTTTACTGGACATGTTTAAGAGCAAAAAGTCAAAAATATTGTTTTTTTTTTTTTCAAAATTGTCACTTTTTTTTATAGTGCAAAAAAAAAAAAAAAAACAACAAAAAAAAAAACTCACAGGCGATCAAATACCACTGAAAGAAAGCTCAATTCATGGAAAAAAAAAGGACATAAATTTCATTTGGGTGCAGCGTTGCATGACTGCGCAATTGTCAGTTAAAGTAACGCAGCGCCGTAAAGCAAAAAATGGCCTGGTCAGGAGGGGGGGGGGGGGGGTAAATCCTCGGGAGGGCAAGTGGTTAATTGAGTCCACAATCACTTTTAAGTATAAGTTCACCTTTGGTAACACATTCCCGCTCCTGCAGCTCTACCCCCGATCCGCAGCATACTTGTGACAGTGGGCTGGAGATCTTCTCCTCGCACCCGCTGTCAGAATATGAAAAGAGCACAGCTGTGCAGAGCTCCGCCCACATGGCCGCATCATTCATTCAGCAAGTTCTGTGAATGAATGAGCTACAAGTACCACACCCTGTACAGCTGACAGCTTGTTGCGCTCAATGAACTGCAAGGATTCTGGTGAGCGTCTTCACAGTTCATTGATTTTTCCCTGTCATTCTGTAACTGCCTGTCTGTACGAGGTACAGACAAGTCTGCAGGAGCTTGACGCCGCAATGCTTTACAGGCCCCTTCGAAAAAAAAAAAAAAGAAAAAACAGACTTTTTTTGTGCCTGAAAAAAATGTGCATTTATTTTTTTTTTTTTTTGAAAAGGTGAACTTCAAGAGATTTTAGTGATTAGGTTTACACATGCATTAAATGTAAAAGAACGAGAGGGAAGCCTGAAGCCCTGAAGAACATGGGTGGGGGAACATGGCCTGCCAGCTCACGGCTAAGAACAAAGTGTCCTAAGGAAGCTTAAAAGGCAGAGAGAGGTAGGTAGGAATACAGGTAGGTAGGTAGGAATACATAGATTTGTTCATTGGATATACTAGTGCAAGTCTCTGAGCTGGTAGACAGGAAACCGATACTCACAGGGTTTTTGCTGCACAGCATGAAGCCGATCTGGCCGCTGGGGTAGGTTGGGATGGTGCAGTAAGCATATTCTACCATAGGGAAGAGAGATTTGCAGAACTTGTGCATGTCCTTAATGAGGTCCAGGTGCAGCCATTGACACTCACCTAGAAGAAAAAGGAGAGATAAAGAGGAGTGGAGGGAGTGAAGACCGACCCCTACTAGGTGGTGGCTCAAACACAGCAATGCCCCATCTCTATTCCAGAAATCCCAGCAACACAAGGGACCGGTCAACCAGTTCCCAATCACACTATAGCTAAAAGATGGCTTCAGCGCTTTCGGCTAGTTCTGGAAGGACGTCCATGGACGCCCCTCCCAGAACCGCGATCTGTGATTGCTGTGTTCTTTGGACATAGCTGATCACATGACTAAGGAACGGGCCCAATCACAGCCGCTTTTACCATGTGACCAGCAGTGTCCAATCACAGCTGATCACCAGGTAAATAGGAAATGCCGGTTATCGGCAGTCCTCTCCTCACGCTGGCAGCACATGAAGAGAGGAGAGCCAGTCAGCGGCATTTCATAGGGGGGACATCTAAACTGATCATCGGGGCACTGATCAATGTAGCCACATCAGTGCGGCCAATAGTGCCCATCTGTGCTGGCAATCACTGCCCATCAGTTGAATCAGTGCCGCCTAACAGTGCCCATCAGTGCCACCTAACAGTGCCCATCAGTGCCACCTAACAGTGCCCATCAGTGCCCTTCAGTGAAGGAGAAAAATTACTTATTTACAAAACTTTATAACAGAAAGAAAATGTTTTTTTTTTTTTCAAAAACTTTTGGTCTTTTTTAGTTTATTTAGCAAAAAAAATAAAAAAAAAAACGCCCAGTGGTGATCAAATACCCACAAAAGAAATATCTATTTGTCTCAAAACAATGATAAAAATTTAGTTGGGTACAGTGTTGCATGACCGCGCAATTGTCATCAAAGTGTGAGCACTGAAAGCTGAAAATTGGCCTGTATTCTATAAATTCGGTATCCACAAATAAATAAAAAATATTAATTATAATACACTTCAAACTGTGTAAATCTGACAAAGTCCCGCTAAAAATCCAAAAAAAAAAGCCTGGCTTCCAGCAGAGACAAAAGGTGGCGAATTGGTGGTCAGAATCATGCCTAAGTTCTATTGCGACTACTGTGATACCTACCTCACCCATGAATCGGATGAGGAGACATAAGATGCTTGCCTAAAAAGTGGAACCCCCACCTTTATTTACTGGAGTGGGAGTCCGGGGAGTGACTACAGCACTGGAGTGGGAGTCCGGGGAGTGACTACAGCACTGGAGTGGGAGTCCGGGGAGTGACTACAGCACTGGAGTGGGAGTCCGGGGAGTGACTACAGCACTGGAGTGGTGGGAGTCCAGGGAGTGGGAGTCCTGTACTCTAAAGGCTTGTTATTACTCTGAGAGGGTAAATGTATGCATTTCAGCTATAGAAGTGTTCCCGGAGAGTGCACCATTTATTTTTTCATTTATTTTCTTTTTATTTATTTATTTCATTTGTTTATGAGTGTACACTGATTGTTCACTCCGTGTACACCATAAATAAATAAATGTGATTTCACGATTCCCGTGTTGCTCACGATTTGAATCTTGTTTCAATTTTTTGCACATATTTGTGTTAAGTATATACACTTATTGTTTGGTAAAGTATATACCAGCTGTTATTGAGGGTAATGCACTATGTAGTTTTTTTCATTTGTTTGAGGTAAACACTTTATCAGGATTTATGTGGAGGTGCAAGTTGGACACTGAAGAGTAATTTTTGTGGACTTTATTTCAAACATTGACTGGCACAAAAAAGGATTTTTAACCTCCCTAGCAGTCTGATTATGTCCATATTTCTGTGCTCAAAGCGGAACATTTTTTTGCATGGAAATATGTATTTTTTTTATTGTAGGCCTGTAATTTTTAGGAATAACTCACTGAAATCTGTCCAAACAAGAGTCTAGTAAACATCCCGGGGATGATAAAACTTGAAAAACGAAATCATAAATTATAATTTTATAAATAATAAAAAATAATATAATAAAATTCAATAATATAATCAAACCAAAAACACTGAAATTTGAAATATAGCGCCAAGTTCGCACATCACTGAGCAAAGTTGCGAAATAATTTTCAGTGTCTGATGATGAATTTCCCCCACGAATCATTATCACTCAATTCTGCAAGTAGTTCTAATTTACTATCGTTGTTCTCTAGATGGTCTAAAACCACTTTTGACCTAAAGGGACGCTTTTTGGACGCCATGGACGTTTCTCAGTTTCCAGGCAGAAAGAACAGTAAAAATGCAGGCAGGGCGCCGGACAAAGCACTCGGGACAAAATATATGTGAAATGGTTTGATACAGGAATGTTATACTATGTGATTTTAGTGAATGTCACTTTTTGTCATTTTCAAATTTCCCGCCGTTCCGGCCCCCGTACGTCCTGAGGTCGCAGGGGACGGAATCCAGAAGACAGATGCCGGCATCGGCCGGAGGACATTACAGGGGACACTGCAGGAGAGACATCGCGGGGGCGCAGGACAAGGTAAGTGAAGAACAGATCCCGGAGCAGCGCCGCATGGTAAGCCCGAATGTAGCTCAGGGTTACCGCTTGTGGTACTGAAACTTTACCCCGAGCTACACTCAGGAATACCGCCAGGGAGGTTAATTGAAAATTGGCCTGGACAGGAAGGCAAGTGGTTAAAGGGAACCATGATCCTACTTTAATAAACAGCATCTAAGTGTGAGAACATGTCTGTACAGAAGTATGTGCAATACATAGATTAATCCTTTTGGTGACAGATAAAAATGTATTATGGGAAGAAAAAAAAAAAAAAAAGTATTATAAAAGAATGATAAAAACCATACAGGATTGCCCACAGGGATAAGCAAAAGGAAGTCTAGATCAACATCACAGTCTAGGATCTGAGCTCAGACAATCATTTTCAAGCCAGATACAATTCTTTTTCACACCTTTAAATGCACATTTTAGGTCTAATGCGTTAGTTGCAAATTTTTTGTCACACAATATCAGCTTTATCAAACATAAATATTCAAAGAAAAGAGAAAACACAAAGTTTATTATAGTGCTCAGAAATAGCACCCTATATGATGGCATAGTAAATATGATCGGTATCCTTTAAGACAGTGGTACTCAACCTGTGGGTCGCGACACCTTTGGGGGTTGAACGACCCTTTCACAGGGGTCCCCTAAGACCATCAGAAAACACATATTTCCGATGTGTAAAGAGCGGCTACTGTGTAGAAAGCGGCTGTTGTGTTGAAAGCAACTACTCTGTTAAAAGCAGCTACTGTGTTGAAAGCAGAAGTATTGGAGGTAAAACGACACTCATGAATTATAATTACTGGGTAAATAATTTTATGGTTGGGGGTCACCACAACATGAGGAACTGTATTAAAGGGTCACGGCATTAGGAAGGTTGAGAACCACTGCTTTAAGACGACATCAGAGGTCTACTAGACCCCCAATGTCACCTATTAACCCTAATGAAGCTGATCAGGTACATATCGTGCTTGATCAGCTTTCTTCCCGGGCCACAGCAGCCATGAAATGACAATGCTGAACCTGGAAGGGACATAATCCTGGTTACTTATGTGTTCATTCGTTGGACAAAAAAAATGAATAAACGAATGGAGGTTCACTGATCTTCCTCCTCTCTACTCGCCAACATTCACCAGCTAGTCCCAGGACCACAGGTGGGACAGCAGATATCGGGATAGATCGCAAGGGGAAGGGGGATGTCATACATCTATGGCACAAAAGGGGTTAAAGATAAGGGATCCCCTATTATGCAAATCATTAACCTCCTTAGCGGTTTTCCCGAGTGTAGCTCGGGGTAGAATTTCTATACCAAGAACGGTAACCCCGAGCTACACTCGGGCTTACCATGCAGCGTTCTCTGGGGGTCCCTGCAGCACTTACCTTGTCCTTCGCTCCCATGATGTGTCCCCTGCAGCGTCCCCATCCATCTCCTCCGGCGGATGCCGGCATCTGACTTCCGTGTTCCGGTCCCCGTGACGTCGGAACGTTCGGGCGGCGGAACCGGCGGGAAATTTGAAATTTTTAAAAAATGACATTTTTGCTGTCATTGCTTTTTCACTGCATTTCACATAATTTTGTCCCGAGTGCTTTGTCCTGTGCCCTGCCTGCATTTTGACTGTTCTTTCTGCCTGGAAACTTAGAAAAGTCCATGGCGGCCAAAAAGCGTCCCTTTACATCAAAAGCGGTTTTAGAACAGCGATAGTAAATCAGAACCACTTGCAGAATTGAGTGATAATGATTCGTGGGGGAAATTCGTCAGACACTGAAAACGATTTTGCGACTTTGCTCAGCGATGTGCGAATTTGCCTCTGTATTTCAAATTTCAGTGTTTTTGGTTTGATTATATTATTGAATTAAATTGATTATTATTATATTATTATTTTTTTTATTATTATTAATTAAATTATAATTTATGATTTTGTGTTTCAAGTTTTATCATATCCGGAATGTTTAATAGACTCTTGTTCGGACAGATTTCAGGGAGTTATTCCTAAAAATTACAGCCTACAATTAAAAACTACATATTTCCATGCAAAAAAATGGTACCGCTTTCAGCACAAAATTCCTGACATAATCATACCGCCAGGGAGGTTAAACAGCTCATCAGAGGTAGAATTAAAATGGATGCAAAATAACATTCCCCCTAATATGTGATGGCGAACTTACCTTGACAGCAGAGGATCCCGCCATCTCTCAGTGCCGTCTTCATCAGTTGATAATAAGACTCTTTAAAAAGACTCTCGGCAGGACCTGCCATTAAAGAAAACAGGACACTATGGATGGAAGGAAACTGTCAGTGCAGGAAATAAACAGGTAAAAGAACAGTCCTTCCCAAATCTGTTTAGACTCAACTAAATCCTATTACAATAAATAAGATGTAAATACTTAGATGGCAATTAACAGTGCAATTACAGAGAAGCGGGTTCCAGATTTACCCAATTGTACATGGCCTAGGCCGGAATGTTGTCACGGTCCCCCCCACCCTGCATACATTACACACTGTGCGTGTCTGACAATTCTCTGGCAGAGGCCCTGCAGCATGTACGCATACATAACACGACACAAACAGCCTCCTGGAATGTATGACGTAGCCTTCTCATGAGCCACTTGTGAGATGTAAGACTGTAAATACACGCCACAGGGTGTCTGCCAGTTCTCAGTGTCGCCATCTTCAACTGAGATCCAGCATGTGTGCAGACACGCTACGAATCAGTTCTCTGGCAGAGATCCTGTAGCATGTCTGAGCATGCGGGAAGAGAGGGGAGTTTGATGCATACGCACACATGATGTGTGCATCTCCTGCAGGTTCTATAGATCTGACAGAGCCTTACGATGTGTCTGCTAATGCGCCAGACCTCAAAGATGGCGGCGCTGCAGAACAGTTTAAGTAAAAAAAAGTGAGGGGGGGGGGGGGGAGGGGAGAGAGAGAGCGCGGGGGGGGGGGGAGGGGAGAGAGAGAGCGGAGCGAGCGAGGGGGGAGAGCGGAGCGAGCGAGGGGGGAGAGCGGAGCGAGGGGGCGGGGGGAGGGGGGAGCGGAGCGGGGCGAGGGGGGAGAGCGGGGGCGAGCGAGGGGGGAGAGCGGAGGGGGGGGGAGGGAGCGAGGGGGGGAGGGGGGGAGAGCAGGGGGGGAGAGCAGGGGGGGAGAGCAAGGGGGGTATAGGGGCGAGGGGGAGAGAGAGGGGGGGGGGGGGGGGGGGAGGGGAGCGCGGGGGGCGGGGGGGGGAGGGGGGGGGGGGGGGGGGGAGAGAGAGGGGGGGGGGGGGGGGGAGAGGGGGGGGGGGGGCGGGGGGGGGGGGCGCGGGGGGCGAGGGGGGGAGAGGCGGGGGGGGGGAGGGGGGGGGGGGGGGGGGGGGGGGGGGGGGGAGCGGGGGGGGGCGAGGGGGGGGAGAGGGGCGAGGGGGGGGGGGGGGGGAGCGCGGGGGGGGGGGGGGGGGGGGGGGGGGGGGGGGGGGGGGGGGGGGGGGGGGGGGGGGGGGGGGGGGCGAGGGGGGGGGGGGGGGGGGGGGGGGGGGGGGGGGGGGGGGGGGGGGGGGGGGGGGGGGGGGGGGGGGGGGGGGGGGGGGGGGGGGGGGGGGGGGGGGGGGGCGGGGGGGGGGGGGGGGGGGGGGGGGGGGGGGGGGGGGGGGGGCGGGGGGGGGGGGGGGGGGGGGGGGGGGGGGGGGGGGGGGGGGGGGGGGGGGGGGGGGGGGGGGGGGGGGGGGGGGGGGGGGGGGGGGGGGGGGGGGGGGGGGGGGGGAGGGGGGGGGGGGGGGGGGGGGGGGGGGGGGGGGGGGGGGGGGGGGGGGGGGGGGGGGGGGGGGGGGGGGGGGGGGGGGGGCGGGGGGGGGGGGGGGGGGGGGGGGGGGGGGGGGGGGGGGAGGGGGGGGGGGGGGGGGGGGGGGGGGGGGGGGGGGGGGGGGGGGGGGGGGGGGGGGGGGGGGGGGGGGGGGGGGGGGGGGGGGGGGGGGGGGGGGGGGGGGGGGGGGGGGGGGGGGGGAGGGGGGGGGGGGGGGGGGGGGGGGGGGGGGGGGGGGGGGGGGGGGGGGGGGGGGGGGGGGGGGGGGGGGGGGGGGGGGGGGGGGGGGGGGGGGGGGGGGGGGGGGGGGGGGGGGGGGGGGGGGGGGGGGGGGGGGGGGGGGGGGGGGGGGGGGGGGGGGGGGGGGGGGGGGGGGGGGGGGGGGGGGAGGGGGGGGGGGGGGGGGGGGGGGGGGGGGGGGGGGGGGGAGGGGGGGGAGGGGGGGGGGGGGGGGGGGGGGGGGGGGGGGGGGGGGGGGGGGGGGGGGGGGGGGGGGGGGGGGGGGGGGGGGGGGGGGGGGGGGGGGGGGGGGGGGGGGGGGGGGGGGGGGGGGGGAGGGGGGGGGGGGGGGGGGGGGGGGGGGGGGGGGGGGGGGGGGGGGGGGGGGGGGGGGGGGGGGGGGGGGGGGGGGGGGGGGGGGGGGGGGGGGAGAGAGGGGGGGGGGGGGGGGGGGGGGGGGGGGGGGGGGGGGGGGGGGGGGGGGGGGGGGGGGGGGGGGGGGGGGGGGGGGGGGGGGGGGGGGGGGGGGGGGGGGGGGGGGGGGGGGGGGGGGGGGGGGGGGGGGGAGGGGGGGGGGGGGGGGGGGGGGGGGGGGGGGGGGGGGGGGGGGGGGGGGGGGGGGGGGGGGGGGGGGGGGGGGGGGGGGGGGGGGGGGGGGGGGGAGGGGGGGGGGGGGGGGGGAGGGGGGGGGGGGGGGGGGGGGGGGGGGGGGGGGGGGGGGGGGGGGGGGGGGGGGGGGGGGGGGGGGGGGGGGGGGGGGGGGGGGGCGAGGGGGGGGGGGGGGGGGGGGGGGGGGGGGTGAGAGGGGGGGGAGGGGGGGGGGGGGGGGGGAGGGGGGGGGGGGGGGGGGGGGGGGGGGGGGGGGGGGAGGGGGGGGGGGGGAGGGAGCGAGGGGGGGGGGGAGGGGGGGAGGGGGGGGGGGGGGGGGGGGGGGGGGGGGGGGGGGGGGGGGGGGGAGGGGGGGGGGACTAGGGGGGGGGAAGTTGCTCTGAGGGGGGGGGGGGGGGGGGGGGACAAGTGGGGTTCCGGGGGGGGGGGGGCTCCAACCTCTCTCACACACTGCACAGAATACTATCAAAGGGGGGGGGAGGGGGGGACTGGGGGGGGGGGGGGGGGGGGGGGGGGCTCACTGGGGGGGGGGGGGGGGGGGGGGGGGGGGGGAGGGGGGGGGGGGGATTAAAAGGGGGGGGGGGGGGGGGGGGGGCGGGGTACATTTTAATTTGTTTGCTTTGGGGGGGGGGGGGGGGCCCATGGGGGGGGGGGCTAAGTTATTCATACATGCATAGAAGTGGGGGGGGGGGCAACTTTTCAATGCCATCCTTACAACTAAGGGGGGGTGGGGGGGTTGGATTATTTGCAATTTGAGGATATCTGGGGGGGACCAGAGGGGGGACTAGGGGGGGGTGGGGGGTGCATGAGAGGTTTTCTTATGTAAAAAGGGGGGGAAAAAGGGGGGGGGGGGGGGGGCTAATTGGGGGGGGGGGGGGGGAGGGGGGGGGGGCTTTTCAGGGGGGGGGGGGGGGGGGGGGGGGGGGGGGGGGGGGGGGCTGACCGGGAGCAAAAACTTTCCCCTGGGTGTGGTGCCTATGTTGCATATCAAAACAAAAAGTGCGCCAAGGGGTACAGTTCATCTTCTTGTGTGGTGACCTGGGGGGGGGGGGGGGGGAGGGGGGGCCAGTCACCGCTACGGCACATAGAAAACAATTCTTTTTCTATCTGTCCTGTTCACACTACAACAGGGGGGGATATGCCATGGGGAATGGGGCATGTCTGCATGTTTCCACATTACACTAGAAGGCACTGCATGGGGGCAGAACAATGTACCTGCTGACGTGGGGGGACATGAAGTGGGGGGGGGAGGAGGGGGGGGGGGGAGGGTGGCGGGGAGACGGGGGAAGGAGAAGGTTGAATGTACAATGAAGCTGACAGAAGTGAACAGGGGGAGAAAGGGGGGGGGGAAGGGGGCGGGGGAGGGGAGAGAAGGGCGGCGCGAGGGGGGGAGGGAGGGAGAGGGGGCGCGAGGGAGCCGAGAGAAAAGGCGCGAGGGAGCCGAGAGACGAGGCGGGGGAGCCGAGAGGGGGGAGGGGGAGAGACGAGGCGGGGGAGCCGAGAGACGAGGGGGGGGAGCCGAGAGACGAGGCGGGGGGAGCCGAGAGAAGAGGCGGGGGAGCCGAGAGAAGAGGCGGGGGAACCGAGAGAAGAGGCGGGGGAACCGAGAGAGAAGGGGGGGGGGCGAGAGAAGAGGCGGGGAGGCGAGAGAAGAGGCGAGGGAGAAGGGCGCGAGAGAAGAGGCGAGGGAGCCGAGAGAAGAGGCGAGGGAGCCGAAAGAGGAGGGATAAGAATGTTGCTTGTCATGAGAAAAAGTCACAGTCTATCCTTCCCAGCCTATAGGATCCTTATTGCTTCACTCCTCTTTCTTCTCTTGGCTCCCTTCTCTAGACTCATTTATCCCTTCTTCCTTCTCCCAGCTAACAAGAAAAGAAAAAGGGGAGGCGCCACTAAGTGCAATAGTAAAAAACTAATTAGACAAGTGGTGATGAATATTCAAAAGAAGAAAAGAATGTCGCTTGTCATGAGTAAAAGTCACCGTCTATCTTTCCCAGCCTATAGGACCCGTCTACATGTCCCACTGAAGCCACAGATGGAAAGGTGGAGAGGAGCTGGGACACTGTCAGAGGCCTGTAGAAGGAGCGAGTAGCCTGTCTTTCGATGCACTGATCCTCCCCCTGTGACGTCACATCCGCCTATGTATGCGTTTCAATCTGGCCCAAAGACTTCCGGTCTTCTAACAGCGTCCTGGCTCCACTCCACCTTTTCATCTGTAGCTTCAGTGGCACACATCGATGTATCCTATAGGTTGGGAAGGGATAGACGGTGACTTTTACTGATGACAAGTGACATTCTTACTTTCCTTTGATTGGTCATCACCACTTGTCTAATAAATTAGTTATTTTAATATTGCACTTAGCGGCGCTTCCCCTTGTTCTTTTCTTGTTAGTTGGGAGAAGAAAGGTTAAAAAAGGAGCAGAGAAAAGAAAGTAGAGAAGAAAAAAGGGATAAGGGAGAAGAAAATAAAAAACAAACAAACAATCACAGTATTCCCGGACAAAGCCAACACATACACTAGCCTGCAGTTAAACATAGTGCTAGTGTGAACCTAAGCCACGTCTATTCCCTGCCAGCATGCTGCAGAGGAGGATACGTCTGTTTTGGAATGGAAGCAGTGGTCTCCATACAGAGGTCTGACACACCCCTTTGCTGAATCAGACAGCTACAATTAGTAAAGCTCATGCTCCCTGCTGATTGGATAGCTCTAGCACCAACTCAGCAGGGATGTGTCGGACCTACGATGACGCACTATTTCAGCAAAGAGAGCTTCTCTGCTGCATGCTGGCTGGGGACAGGGTGTTCTACTTGGGATGTATCAGGACACTGCACATCTTTTGTTTTGATGCCCCTGCATTTAGACATCGGATTTAAAATGAAAAGTTCAGTTGGACTTTCAGCGTCTTACCTACAGGGTCGGAGGAGTCTGTGATGATGACATCAAAAGCATCTTGGTTCTGTTTCATGAACTGGAAGCCATCACCCACGTGTAGTCGGAGCTTGGGACTGGAGTACCCCACCGCCATCCCTGGGAGGAACTTCTTAGAGACATTGATGACTTCCTACGGGTTACAAAAAAAAAAAAAATAGAAGTTGCTCCAATGACAAGCTTTATTAACCCCTTGACACCGAGCGCACGCAAATATGCCGCATATTTGCATGCCATTAGAAATACATATGTGCTGAGAGCGCGCAGCCTGCGTGCTCCCAGCACATATTTCCAGGACTCACGGAAAGGTCCTGATTTCCCCTTGCGATCGGGGCCTTTTCCGATCATGTGACCACCGTGATCGCGAACCACAGCGGTCACATGATCCTAAAACCCTGCCCGCCTCCTGGCTTCTGAAACTCCTAAAGGGCCGGGAGGCACCAGCACCAAGAGGTTAATGGCTCAGAGGTTGTACGCTGGGAGCATGCTCACTGAGCCCCCCAACTGAACATTCACTTGGTCATGGCTTCTGATCCGAAGTCAGCAAGATAGGCTCCCAATCCTTTTACTGCTGCGAGAGCCAATCACAGCTGATCAGGAAGCTGCTCCACCTACCAGCATTAAAGCCCACTGAAAGGGCCCTTGGGAGGAGGGGTTAAGCATTCCGAAAACACGAATAGCCATTTGTGCTACGCATTTCATTTTACCTCGTCAATCTCACACTGCACAACAGTTTCCACGCACGGATGTTTCACCACCTCCCGCAGGACTCCGCCATCCCCTCCTCCGATGATGAGGACCTGTCACACAGAAGAGACAATTAGGCCAAGGTCTAATGAGAAAGTTCAATTAAACCCCCTCCCCCACCACCTGGGAAGGTTTAATAACTGAGCAGGCCAAAGAAATGATTAGATCTGAAAAACTGGTTTTTGTTCCAGTTATTTCCCTATACCAATCAATGGGCTTACAGCCAGATAAGTGTCTCTAATGCATTAAAATCCTGCCAGGTCATCCATTTACTAATTCTTTCATAAGGATTCACTTTAATGCTGCGAATGCAGTAAAAAAAAAATCATCTAGTATTTAGAACTACTTTAGCCCCTAAAACAAGTACAACTGTGAAGATGGAGAAGAAATCAAGAAAGAGTGACACTGACAATGAAAAGGGAGCGGATTCTGTTCCCTATTACAGGGGGTACGGGCCCTTTTATTATTAACCACTTCAAGACCGGACACTTTTACGCCCTTCCTGTCCAGGGCAATTTTCAGCTTTCAGCACTATCACACCTTCAATGACAATTGCGCGGTCATGCAACACTGTACCCAAATGAATTTTTTACCATTTTTTTTGAGACAGATAAAGCTTTATTTTGGTGGTATTTATTCACCGCTGGGATTTTTATTTTTTTTGCTATGTAAATGAAAAAGTCCAAAAATTTTGAAAAAAAAGTGTTTTTTTTATAAAATTTTGCAAATAATAATATTTCATCATAAATCTTTGCCAAAATTTATTCCGTTATCTTTTTAGTAAAAAAAAAAAAAATCCAAATTAGTTTATAACAAAAATTATAATTTTTTAAACATTTTTATTTTATTTTTTTTATATTATTTTTTATTTTTTTTTTACATACTGTCACCCTAGCAGTACAGTGTCACCATGGTGACACTGTACTACCTGTGGGGGGTGATGAAGATTATTTTTTTTTTTTTTTTTTTTTTTTTTTACACATTGCTTTTACACCCATATAGGATGTAAAAGCAATCATTTCTCTTTCTTTCTGTGTGCATTCTTGCACTCATTGAGAAGTACTGAGTGAGCTGTGATTGGTCACAGCTTGTCACATGGTACAAGCCTGTTGTGAATAGGCTTGTACCATGTGACCTCTGATCATTCACAGATTTCACAGGTAGTAAGCAATGATGTCACAAGTGACATCTTGCTTACTACTTTGCATGTGATCACTGATTGGCCAATCAGTGATCACATGATCGGGACCTCGTACAGAGGTCCCATCCAACGATCGGTGTTTCACTGTGTCCGGAGGACACAGCGGGCACCGGATCGCGGTGCTGCGCGCTCCCAGGGAGCGCGCACAAGCAGGGTGCGGGGAGGCCGTTTATAAACGGCCACCCGACCCAGCACTTCCACCGTCCGGCCGGTCGGGAAGTGGTTAAGGGTGATCGGCTCCATTTTCTATGCCCTGTCTGGAGCAGAGAGCAGGAGCTGCTTGTCAACATACTACCTCCACCACCCCAGCTGAGAAGGAGAGGGAAGGCTGCTAATTCAGCATTGATTTGGGTTAACAGCTAGATATAAAAGCAGGGCAAGGAGTTTTTCCTGTCTCTCTGCACTGGGGTGTATACTTAGCAGCACCTAGTATGAAGGTTCATATCATTTAGAGGTATTTTTGAAATGTTAACATTTCAGGGGAAGGGCTTTCGTCTTCCTCAGGGCTTAAAGGGAGAAGTATAGCCAGTGCTTTGTTGGCTGTACTTCTCTCACGGAACACAGGAGTGCAGTTCATTCTGCAGTCCTGTGACCCGTTTCAATGGACTAGCTAAAGCCTCCTATCGTCTGATGTCAAAGAGTCTGCGCAGGCTCTGAAAAGATCCCCACCCAGAGCCTGGACCGGCACCTGGCTCAGCAATCCGCTAAGGGCCAGAATCCCCCCCCCCCCCCCCCCCCCCGCGCTGGAGGAGCAGAGCAGAGAGCTGGTGACTGACAGTCAGAGTGGAGGGGAGAACTGAGCAATCAGTGGTGTATGAATGAACATCTCTCGGTGTAGACTGGAGGGGGTGGGGGGGCAGATGTAGTATCAGATCAATGCTGCATCCACCTAGGCGAGGTTTTTTTTTTTTTTTTTTTTTTTTTTAAAAGTCCATACTTCTCTTTTAGGCCTGGTTCAAACCTATGCGTTTTTTCGTTCTCTTTGCAGAAACGCACTACAGACCATTTAACTTTGTTTCCTATGGGGCACGTTCACATCTATGCTCTTTATTCAGCCGTTGCATTTTTGGAAAGGGCCGAGGACCTTTCCAAAGCATGTAGTGCATTTTTGACGCGCTTTGCATTTTTTGACCTGCCCAAAAAACCCCCAAAAAAACGCCCTGCAAAAATAGATCAAAAGCAAACCGCATAGTTGTGAACCAGGCCTTAAAGTGTTACTAAACCCACAACAGTAAAGTATATGCAGTAACACATGCTTGCTATGCTCACTGTGGAGAGCGGCTACAGCGACTGCAGGGTCCGGGGAGAGCGGCTACAGCGACTGCAGGGTCCGGGGAGAGCGGCTACAGCGACTGCAGGGTCCGGGGAGAGCGGCTACAGGGTCCGGGGAGAGCGGCTACAGCGACTGCAGGGTCCGGGGAGAGCGGCTACAGCGACTGCAGGGTCCGGGGAGAGCGGCTACAGCGACTGCAGGGTCCGGGGAGAGCGGCTACAGCGACTGCAGGGTCCGGGGAGAGCGGATATAGTGAATGCAGGGTCCGGGGAGAGCGGATACAGCGACTGCAGGGTCCGGGGGAGAGCGGATACAGCGACTGCAGGGTCCGGGGAGAGCGGATACAGCGACTGCAGGGTCCGGGGGAGAGCGGATACAGCGACTGCAGGGTCCGGGGAGAGCGGATACAGCGACTGCAGGGTCCGGGGAGAGCGGATACAGCGACTGCAGGGTCCGGGGGGAGAGCGGATACAGCGACTGCAGGGTCCGGGGAGAGCGGATACAGCGACTGCAGGGTCCGGGGAGAGCGGATACAGCGACTGCAGGGTCCGGGGAGAGCGGATACAGCGACTGCAGGGTCCGGGGAGAGCGGATACAGCGACTGCAGGGTCCGGGGAGAGCGGATACAGCGACTGCAGGGTCCGGGGAGAGCGGATACAGCGACTGCAGGGTCCGGGGAGAGCGGATACAGCGACTGCAGGGTCCGGGGAGAGCGGATATAGTGAATGCAGGGTCCGGGGAGAGCGGATATAGTGAATGCAGGGTCCGGGGAGAGCGGATATAGTGAATGCAGGGTCCGGGGAGACCGGATATAGTGAATGCAGGGTCCGGGGAGACCGGATATAGTGAATGCAGGGTCCGGGGAGACCGGATATAGTGAATGCAGGGTCCCGGGGAGACCGGATATAGTGAATGCAGGGGAATGCAGGGTCCGGGGAGACCGGATATAGTGAATGCAGGGTCCGAGGAGACCGGATATAGTGAATGCAGGGTCCGGGGAGACCGGATATAGTGAATGCAGGGTCCGGGGAGACCGGATATAGTAAATGCAGGGTCCGGGGGAGACCGGATATAGTAAATGCAGGGTCCGGGGAGACCGGATATAGTAAATGCAGGGTCCGGGGTTTAGTAACACTAAACTTTCTATACTTTACCTGAGCTATGACTGGATTGTCTAAAATATGTAGCCATCGGCAATTAGGACTGCAGGGTCCGGGGTTTAGTAACACTTTAAGCAGTGGATGTTATTCCTGCTGGCAGTTCATAGTGCCATTAAGATTTGCCCATCTTTATCAAGCCCTTCTACAGGTCTTGTATTGAATCTCATCATGATTCTAATAACATCCCTTGCTCAAGCACTTCATTACATATCAGTTCCATTGAAGATGCATGCCACTTTAGATACATCAAAACCAAATCTCAGACTGTCTTTATGCAGGCTCTACCCCATGTACAGTCTTCACTACACTGGCAAAGAGGCATGAGAACTGCCTGCTAGGTTACTGGCAGACAGTTGACATCCAGTACACCATGTCTGATCTGTTGGGGATCTGTGTCAGTTTTCTACATTGAAAACTGCCGCAGCTCCTTCATTAATTAGGTGCAAAACCTGCATCGGCGGACGGCGCAGGAAGTCTTGAAAACAGGCCTATCTGCTTTGACCATCCGCTTTTTTTAATGTTTTGAGAGTTACTTGCACCATTGTTACAATGGTACAGGATGCTTTGGTAATTCTCCCCTTGAGGCAGAAGGGACAATTCTAGAGCAGGATCTTAGTACTGTACCTTGCGTGGATTTGGGTGACTGCAGAGGGGGAGGTTTGCGATCATCTCTTGGTAGGAAAACTCATCTCTCTCCGTACATTGAATTAATCCGTCCAAAACAAGCACGTTCCCATAAGTCTTACTGTGGAGAGTCAGATTACACGCATTCAGTACACACGCTACACACCGTCATCCTATGAGCAGCATCACAGCTTAGGAAAGAGCCCAGTACTTGAATGAAAACAGATCCCCATTATGAGAGGGACAGGTGCACATCATTTAAAGGAACAGTCCAAGATTCCAGTTGAGTGTGAAAGAAGGGCTAACTGGCTGATCATTTCACAGCTCTGTCCCTATGTGTCAGCGACTCCATGCAAGGCCTTGTGTCACCCAAGAAGACCAGGAGCTCCTGCAAGGTCTTTTCAGCACCTTTTAAATGTATTAAAAGTTGCAAATTCACCTGTATAACAGTTTTGGACCCCTTAGAACCCTTCATTAGGTACCACAGGGACGAAACATATTGAGCAGTATTCCCTATAAAGCAGATCTCTCAGACGGAAACACGGTACACCTGAATTCTCTTCTACAAATCTAATTATACAAAGACAAGGGATAATATTAGTGGCCGCTACACAATGTACCAAGAACAAAAAAGAAGCAAAATATTACAAAATCAAAATTAAGTCATTATAAAAAATAAAATGTAAATCAAAATATTTGTTTAGCCAATTCTCGCCCGGCGGAACACTTGTAGTTCCAGGTGGATGTCATATGACATCCTCCTCAGAATGCTCCTCACTGCATGCGCTGCAGTGCGATCCGTCACCCGCTGCGTCCACCGGTCACAGGGGATGACCGATCAGTGTACCAGCCACTGCCAATACCATGTGATCCCTGTAAGCAATCAGAGCAGATCACAAGACAACTGTACACAATGGATGATTGGTCACAGTGATCACATGGTACAGTCAGGCCAATCACAGGAAATCCTCTGGGGGGCAAGTGGTTAATAGCAAAAAGTCCAAAATATTGTTTTGGTCTTTTTTTTTTATAGCACAAAAAATAAAAACCGCACAGACGATCAAATAACACTGAAAGAAAGCTCAATTTGTGGGAAAAAAAAAAAACAGACAAATTTAATTTGGGTGCAGCATTGCATGACCGCACAATTGTCAGTTAAAGTAACGCAGCGCCGTATCGCAAAAAATGACCTGGTCAGGAAGGGGGGTAAATCCTCTGGAGGGCGAGGGGTTAAGTGCACAAAGTGTTAGTATGCATTACATATTAGCACATTATGAGAGACTCACCTGAAAATGAAGCCCTCCAGCGACACGCGGTCCCAGCTTCCATTTTCACCAGGTCTACCTTCTGGACTGGCAGGTTCCAGCCAACTGAATGGCTCAGCCACGATGACATCACTCCCGCGCACGTGATCCACAATCGCGGTACAGCGCTCTGATATTCAGCATGCTGCCTATCAGAGCGCAGTGCATTGGTGATGTCACCGGCCACAGAGATAGAGAATATCTTCCAAACAGTTCATGATTAGGAGAGATTTCTTGTCCCTACAGGTGAACTATATTATACGCTCACCTACAGGGACAAGTTACTGGGCCGAGTTTACTAGCACTTTAACCTCCCTAACGGTATATTCCCGAGTGTAGCTCGGGGTAAAATGTCAGTACCAAAAGCGGTAACCCCGAGCTACACTCGGGCTTACCATGCGGCGCTGCATAGGGGGTCCCTGCAGCACTTACCTTGTCCTGAGCTCCGCAATGTGTCCCCTGCAGCGTCCCCGGCCATCTCATCCGGCTCCTGTGTTCCGGTCCCTGTGACGTCGGGACGTACGGGCGCCGCCGGCGGCGGCGGGAAATTTGAAAATTTTTAAAAAATGTCATTTTTTTCAAAACGATTTTACATAGTAAAACATTGCTGTTTCAAACCATTTCACATACATTTTGTCCCGAGTGCTTTGTCCTGCGCCCTGCCTGCATTTTTACGGTTCTTTCTGCCTGGAAACTGAGAAACGTCCATGGCGTCCAAAAAGCGTCCCTTTACGTCAAAAGCGGTTTTAGACCAGCTAGAGAACAGCGATAGTAAATCAGAACCGCTTGCAGAATTGAGTGATAATG